TCCCTCTCTCCCTCTCGTGGCCCAGCGCTCGCCCCCGGCCCCGCCGCCCTCTCCGGCCTGTTTTGCACTCGCTGCCGCCAGGGCCGCTTCATTCCGAAGATGTCCAGGAGACCTTTTTAAAAAATAATAAGAATAGTGAGAGTGATACTACCATCGTTATTATTTTGCTTGCTTTCGGCCTCCTGGAAAAGCGCTTCCGTATCGCTTGCCAAACCCCACCTTGACCTTGACCTTTAAACGCCCGGTCCGCCCACCTGGGCCCCAGCAGGTAGCTTTTCCGCTCCTCCGACTCTGTCAGAGGTGCCGGTCGGCTCTGGCCCCCCGCGCGGAACCGCAGAGGCTGCGCTCCTGCCTCTCAGTCAGCAGCGTCACAGCTCGCTCTCTCTGCCCTCCTCGGTGACCTCGATTCAGCCCTGGCACTCCGCCCATCCCCTGCCCCTTAGCTGCCCGCCGCCTTCTGCCGGAAGGCCGCGTGGGTTGCAATTCTTAGCTGTCAGGATTTATTTGTTGTGCCTCTTTGGGCCCCCTGTCTTTTTCTTTCGGTTCCAAATCATTCTTTTACTCCCTCAGACCCATTGCCCACATTTGTAGTTAACTTTTTAACAACATCAGAAACTTTTCCTTTTTGCCAAAAAAACCTAACTTGTCTGTCCCATCCCGACCTGAATGGGAACCTACTAGGAAAACATAGCATCCCAAAACAATTTTATGTTTCCTCTTATATATATTTCTAATTTACACTTTATGGTCCAACTGGAATTACCAAAATTCAGGGTCTGATCGTGAAATTTCTGTGTTGCCACCGCACTGCATCTTTAAAGTCTTATAAGCACATTTTTGCCTTTTTCTCTGGGGACCTTGTCAGCTTCACCTCACCCTTTATTTTTATTTTTTATTTTTAAATTTTTTTTTTCAACGTTTATTTTTGGGACAGAGAGAGACAGAGCATGAACGGGGGAGGGGCAGAGAGAGAGAGAGGGAGACACAGAATCGGAAACAGGCTCCAGGCTCTGAGCCATCAGCCCAGAGCCCGACGCGGGGCTCGAACTCCCGGACCGCGAGATCGTGACCTGGCTGAAGTCGGACTCTTAACCGACTGCGCCACCCAGGCGCCCTTCACCTCACCCTTTATAAACCTGCTTTGCTTTCTCCTTACTAAATTGTGAACTCCTTTGGAGCAGAAAGTGGCTTAGGCTAGATTCGATTTCCCTCAGCCACCTTCTCCAAGCAGGCTTGTGGCTATTTGGTATAATTCGGTGGCTAGTGGTTTTGTCAGATTTCATTTTGTTACCTAATTCCAGATCTTATTTTTTGAATCGTTGGGATTTTCTCTGTCTTTTCCAACTGTTCTTTTTGCCTTTTGTTTTGTTTAAAACCGATGCCTTCTGTAAACTTTCTTTGGAACTTGTCTCTTCGTTTGTGAATTCGGTTATCTAAAGTAATGTTTTGGTCTAAGCTGTATCTTCTTCCCAATTTTTTCCCACGGGGGCTATGGAAAAGTATTATGTAACTGGCTCTGGATCTGCCTGCAGTATGCAGACGAGTGGCCTAGAGTGGTGGTCCTAAGGGAAGAGAGCATTGTTAGCTGGACCAGTGCTGACTTGAGTCAACGTTATTCATTTAGTAGATGTATTTCTGTCCAGGTTTGGTCATTTGAATCAGCTTGGAAGAGAGAGTAACATATAGAGCTGGAGTCGGGATTAGGATTGTGGGTTCCTGGGACTAGAAGTAATTTGAAGCTGACTGGCTTGAAATGTTGAGTGCTTGTGCACAGATTGGAACCTCTACCTGGAACCTTGATGATGGAGATGTATGTTCTCATTCAAAGGAGATGAAGGTTGTGATAGCCTTCTTAGTAGTTTCTCTCTAAGTGTGGCATAATTTCTACTTGTTGGGAGCAGTGACAGTTTACTTGGAAGTAAAATGTTAATTTTATGACATGCAGTTTATTCACTCATGTAGCTTTTTACATAATTACAAACTTACAGGAAAGTTAAACAGTATTTCAGAGATCCATATCGTCCAATAATCAGTTACATTTTACCTCTTTTGCATTATAGCTCTCTGTGTTAAGTATTTAGGTATGCATTTTTTAATGAACCATTAAGAGAATAAGTTGGAGGTATCAAGCCCCTGATCTCCAAACACTTCAACATGGATTTCCTCAGCACAAGGACATTCTTTTACACAACCAGAGCACAATTATCCAAATTAGCAAATTTAGTATTGATATAATAGTATAGGGCATTCTCTTTTAAATTTTCTCTTATCAATTAATTGTGACCTTATTTCATTGTGGTCTATGGCAAGGGAGTGGCTTGGTAGTTAGGAGACCTGGGTTCTAGTTTGGCTTTGTGACCAGGTATGTGACATTGGTTAGATCACTTCTCTGAGTATTAGATGACCTCTTTTGCCTTTAAGAGTCCATGATCCTAAGGGGTAATGTGAGGAAAAAATGTGCCACTAGTATAAGTCAAACCAACATTGGTAGAAGAGTAGTGTTTCCTTGGAAGTCATAGTATCTCTACTAGATGATACTAAATGTTAGAATTTGGGAGTCTGAAGATGGTCAAAACAAGATTCTTTATACTTAATATTTTCCAGTTTTTTGTTCATTTTGTCCGTTGTTTTTGTTCATCCGTTGAGTGATTTTTCAATTTGAAAGACATAAAATATATTATCTGCTAGGTGATGAAAATTTTTCATAATATTTTTTATTCATGCCTGATCACCAGAATTGTAGTTTGTGGAAAGAAGCTTACCAAAATATTCATGGAAAAATGTTGTGCATGGGCTTTGTAAAGATCCTCTGAAATGGATGCAAAAATTAGGATCTTGTTTTCAAACTAGGAAGTGATATGAGGTAAAAGATTTCTGTTATTAAAAATGAATCTCAGGTTAGTGTTTGAGACAAATAGGCCATACATAAGTGGAACTAAAAACTTTCCTTATTCCATACCCTTTAACATTGGCTCTTCAGGATATGTCTTCAGTATTTTAGACTGAATTGTTGGGATAAGTAAGCTTCTTTTTCCACTTGTAGAAATAAAGTCAACTATTTTTTGAGAGCAAGAACACATGTATGTGCATACATGTGTTTGCTGTTTACCACACAGTAACCCCACAGCAGAGCCCAGGGTAGGGGATTCAACAGGGTAGCCTTTGAGCTGATCTTTTTAAGCTTTCAGTTAAAGGTGAGAATGTGGAAAATTCAGTGCATTTGGAATGAGAAGCTTGTTTGGAAATGAGTTTTGGGTAGGGTAGTTTTGGAAACCCTTGACCTCACTGACATTAACAAAAATTGAAAGTGCAAATATTTGAGTTCTTAAAGCTGCTTGGGTAATCTGATTGTTTAGCATCTAGGCTTCATTGAGAGGGCGAATTTTTTTCTTTTTCAAAATTGGAACTCTTTGTAAACATTGGTATACAATTTATAAAATCCTCCTATACCCAAATGTAGAACATTGTGAGCTTTTGGTTAAAGATTTTACTGAGATCAGTTTCAGTTTGACTTTGATTTTTGGGGTCCTATAGAGGAAGACATTGAAGAAAAAGGAACTTCATATGAATTTGTAACTCCTAGCTTAGAATTATGTGATTTTACATTAAAAAGAAAAGAACCAATGACCAGTTTTTTTCTAGGGAGAATCAGCCTTGCCTTCTAAAAGCCTCAGTAAGTACTTTGGACTTGTAGAATAGGAAGGATAGATAGCTTCTGCAACTGCAGGTTATATTAGGAAAGACAAGCAGTTTTACATCTGGTTTCAGTTTTGATAAATCATTTGTTTCTTCTTGAGAAAAGATCTGGTTTCTAAGTGAATGGCTCAAGAAAAGTTTGGGCCTCACTAATTTAACGTATTCCCATATCCCTCTTTGTTATAAACTGTGACTTGTGTTTTGTGTGCCTTTCTTTCCAAAAAGATGTACTTTTTCTCAAAACTTACTTCTGAACATTGTAGTAAAGACTCAGTTGAGCCCTCAGATTTACTTCCACTTCCTAACCTCAGCATTTGTTGTTCAGAGGTGAAAGTCTGTTGCACTTGATTGATTCCATTTGTTTTCTCTCGTTTGGAAGAAATTGTGTTTCTTTCCAGTGTTAGAGCTTCCAAAGAATTCTCATCCTTGCCACATCATTCAGATTCTTCTGTTTATATGAAGATCCTAGGTTTTGGTGATGGAGGATTTTGATGGTTTTCTTTCTCTGTCCATTTCCTCATCAGACCAAAGAGAACCCTGTACAGTAAGAAATATGGCGTGGACCTCATCAGATACACCCATGCAGCAAACACAGTCGTTTACAGCTCTAACAAAATAGACGGTAAGCAAGCCTTCTTTTTAGGAAGTAATGGTTATGATTTCTTTTGTTAAGTAGTTCTTGGAATCTTTGTGACGATTTCTGCTTTGCTTAGAGTTTCTGTAATTTAAACATATTTTCTTAAGATGTTAGCAATTGTTATGACTGAAGGGATGCTGGAAACAAGCCACCAATACTTTTGAAGGACTTGAAATGGAGTATGAAAGGTCTCTAGATTAGAATGGAGAGTGGGTATAGGAAGCAATGAATTATATTTATAGTTTGTACTTCTTTAAACTTGAAAGAATACTTTTTGAACAAATAAAAGGAAAGACTATTTGACATACAGCAAGTGGCAAATAACCACGAATGTTTGAGCTGTGGTAGTTTAAGGACCTTAGATGAGTTTTTGGTGTATGCTCTACCTTTCATGGTCTGTGTCATGAAGGACAGTGTATTGAGCTTAATTATGTTTAATTTTAGGGACCATTTTTAATCTGAATTTTGTCCCTTTTCCATTTTATTTTATTTATTTTTAAAGACTTTATTTGTAAGTAATCTCTATACCCATTGTGGGGCTCGAATTCACAACCCTGAAATCAAAAGAGTCACATGCCCTTTAGACTGAGCCAGCTAGAGGGCCCTTCCCCTTTTAACTTTTAAATAAAGTTAATGGCTTTAAAGAGTAAAGAGTTATTTTTATAAATTAAATTTGTGAATTTCTTTATCTAATAAATGATCTTGATCTTGTTTTTACCTGCATTTATTTCCCCTGGGATAAGTCATTCTCAGTTGACAGTTCATCTTGGTAGTTGAGGACTTTCACCTTAGGACTCTTTTTTTTTTTTTTTTTTTTTTTTTTTTTTTTCATTTATCTCACTGATTTATTGATTGTCTCGCTTTTTATAGTAAGTTTTTTTTTTCTTTTTTTAAAATTTTAATGTTTATTTTTGAGAGAGAGACAGAACATGAGCAGGGGAGGGGCAGAGAGAGAGGGAGGGAGACACAGAATCCAAGGCAGGCTTCAGGCTCTGAGCTGTCGGCACAGAACTCGATGCGGGGCCCCAGCCCACAGACCGTGAGATCATGACCTGCGAGATCATGACCTGAGGTGAAGTCGGCCACTTAACCGACTGAGCCACCCAGGCGCCCCTGCAGTTAAGATTTTTCTAATGTCATCCACAAAGATCACTTAGACTGCTGTTTTGGCTATGCTTATCTCAGAGCAGATGGGCGGAAGTCCTTTTTTTTTTTTTTTTTAATGAGACTTTTCTGCCTGTACTGATTTTTAGTAAGTATATCATTTCTACTTTTCATGCCTCTATTTCAGAAGTGGTTTTCTAAGTAAGCAGTGCAATTGATGCTTTTGGACAAGAATATAAAACATTAGGATCCTGAGGAAACATATCTATGTGATCACCTGAATGACTGGTATACTTCTTCTGTTGGGGTGATTAAATGTGAGGATTCTCCAAATATGGTGCAAAATGAGGCAAATGTGTGGCACTTGCAGCTTTGCTGCCAGGCCTCTGCTGGGAGGATGTTGCCTTTCCTGTCTCGAGTGCATCCTGAAGAGTTCCTCCAGCGCTCCGTTTCCTTTTGCCTGATTCCAGGCTGAGGTAGTAGTTTGTACAGTTTGAGGGTCTATGATACCACCCGGTACAGGAGATAACTGTACAGGCCACTGCCTTGCCAGGAACAGTGCACCAGCTACTGAGTGGGGCGGAGAGGATGGCGACTCCCTGCTCATCTCTGGGAAACCAGGTAATGGGGAGGAAAGTCTTTTTCTGCTTAGGGCAGGTGAGTAGTTACTAGCAATAGAACATTCAGGAAGACTTCATAGTTGTCATTCTAGAACTTTGAAGATTTTCAAGGAAAACTATATAGAGTTCAGTTTTGGAACATACAAAGAGTGTGGTTTTCCCTCTCCTGAGTTAGACTCCCTGTTACTAGAAAGTACCCCTGTGAACAACTGGAATGACTTGGTGCTTTCAGCCTCTTTGTTTCTGTGTTCTGTTTGCCTCTAGAATGTTCTTTCTATGCTTTCCTATCTATATTGGCACCATTTCCTATTGCCTTTTTCGCAACAATTGCTTCCTACTCCTAGTCTTTTGCAAGGCATAGTACTTTCTAGTTCTGTTCTTTATGGCACTTCATTCCCTTTCCACCGCCATCTTTTTGTTTACTCTTTCAGGTAGAATCACTTGGTTTTTAAGAGTGTTTGTCTTTTTCTCCCCAAGCACAAATCTCTATGATTATTCTTTTTCTTGACAGAATCTCGCTGCTGTGACTTACTGATGTATTTATGAGTTTAATTTTTAAATGTTTTAAGATCTTTTTAACCCAATTTCCTGATTTGTTCTTTTGGACACTTTATTATTATTATTATTATTATTATTATTATTATTATTATCAACTGACTTCTCTCTGATGCACAAAGTACCAGTGGATAGCTGGTTAACTTAAAAAGTAGTAGGACGTTACTTCTGTTTCCATTTGTTTAGTTTTGATGTAGATTATATACCCAATTAACATTTAGGTCCCTAACACGCTGTTGGAGAACCCTGGACAAAAATATTATGCCAGAGTTCAGCCTGATCCTCAGTTTAGCATGGCTACTTAATTCTTTGAGCCTGTTTCCTTAGCAGCTAAATGTTTTCCTTTAAGGCTTGCCATTCTGTGAGCACTGAACCTATTGTGCTTTGTGGGGGTGGTGCAGGCAGGGTATATTTGCAGGACGGGTTGCATTGTAACTATGCAGAAGCCAAAGATTGGTGGTAACAATGATTTTTAAAAATTGCTGTATATGCTGTCAACTTAAGAACGAACTCTGCTTTTGAATTATGTGAAATCTGTAGTGCCCATTCTTCAGCTGTGGAGAGGAATTACTCAGCCTTACTTATTCACACCTTGCTTGAGTTATGGAAAACAATAAATTTTTTGGCCTTGTTTTCAAGATGAAAATGTACAGTAATTCCTTTAAAAATAATAGGGTATCATCATGCCTTATTTGTCTTCTTACAGATACTATTCGTTACCTGTCCTTGCATGACAACAAATACATCAGATACTTTCCTGGACATAGCAAAAGGTAAGACCCAGATGTTACAGAAGTAGTTCTTTTACCCCTGAGGTTACCCAGAGACTAGGAGAGTAGAGAGATTTTATTAGTGAACTAAAGCTAGTTCCTTACTGCTGTTTGGCATTCCTCTTAGTCTTCTCTTGTTAACTCTCCCTAAAATAGTCAATACTTGATTTACTGAGGTTGTGGAGGCAGGGGTAGGACTTCATAGATAAACTGAAATCTCAGTTAAAACATAATTGGGGAAAAAGTGTATTAAAGACACTCAGTGGAAACCTATGTAGTACAAATTACATTTATCATTGAGGAACCCCAAATATTAGTTGTCCCTTAATGAAAGGACCATTTATACGTGAGGCCTCTTCCAGTACTGGTGGCCCCATTACAGCAGGCCCCTAGTCTTCATAAACATGTTCCATGTGGAGATCTTAATGAGGATGAAAAAAATAATAATAAATAAAATTGTCCTTTGTGACTTTTGAAAGTCCAGAAGCTTGTTTCCTTATTCTGTTTTGTAATGCATTTTGTTTCCCTCTGTCTTGTACCCCAGTTCCCCCAGTGTTTTTTCTTCAAATATTCAAGTTTGGGTTGAGTGTTAAACCCATTTTCCTTTGGATGATTTTTTAATCACTGAGGGTATTTCCTCCTGCTTATGTTTACAAACATACATTAACACAGTACAACTTGGAGTGGTACAGAACCTTAACAGGAGATGGACCAAGAGCACCCTGTTTTAGGCTGCACTTTTGATTGGGCAGAGCATATCTATGTTGCTGAAGGTGAGAGCTGACAGCTATTGGTTACTGGTCCCAAACAAACAAATGATGGCTTGTGATAAGTAGATGTTTTTGCTTGTTTGTAGTCAAATTAATGTTCACAAATGATTTGAGTTGATTGTAGTTGTTTGAAATTCTTTCCAATCTTCCTGATTATCCAGCTTTTTGATGTCCTGATTCTCAGGAGATAACTTTTTGCCCTTTTTTTTTTTTTAAGAAAATCAAGGCCATCCAAAATGAGTTCTTTTCAACTTCCTTGGAACCCTTTCCTTGACAAGAAGCATCCTTTCTTCCTTGACAAAACCAACCTCCTTCTTTCTACTTGTTTCCATCTTCTTAACTAGACTTTTCCTTGCTGCCTACAAACTTACTTGGTCTTCCTTATCTTAAATCTATTTCTTGAACTCATCTCCCACTCCTTTTAACTGTCAAACATGAAAGAATAATCTGCATACTCCCATCTCCACCTCCTCACTCATTCACTGTTTAAATCATTTGGTCTAGTCCCGGGCTCATTTATGGGGCTTTTTCCATGCTGTTTTACTCCTCTTTCCCTGCTGTCTCCAGTTAAAATCTGTCTTCGGGGGTGGGGGGTAGGGGTTGGTTTTAGGGTTTTTGGGTTTTTGGCTTTTTTTGGTGTTCAACTTCTCAGTGACTTTTTTTTTTCCCCTTTGGCAGCCTACTTTCCCATTTTGGTTTCACTCTTGCAATTCTTGGCCTTTCTTTCTCCTTTTGACTCTAAAATAAGTAAGATTTCACCCTAGCTTTTCTCCTGTCTTGATATTTTCTCACATCTTCATCACTAATTTCATTTACCTCTACTCAGATGGCTTCCCAAATCAATATTTTTAGCTCATGTCTACCCTGATTTCCAGACTCCATTTCCACCTCCAGGTTTTATATACATCTACGTGGATATCTCTTTCATGCTCCCACCTGACAGGTCCAGCATACCGTCCCTCGTTACATGCTGTGGGCCATATCCTCTCTGTCGGCCTCATGTTTCTTTATCACTGTCCCTTCTAATTATCCTAACTCAAAGCCTCTGTTCCCTGTTCGCTTTCTTTCCCTTGCTTTCACATGTAGTAAGTTGTTAATCCTATTGATTCTACCTAGGTTTAACCTAGTGTGTCACTCTCCTTTTCTTCGGTCCTGGCTCATGCACTGTAAAGTGAATTACAGTCAAATCCTAATTAATCTCCCTATCCCTCATCATCCTTCTTTAGCATCCTGTATTACAGTTCCGACCACTTCATAGTCTATCTATATCTCTGTGGAGAACTTTAATAGTTCTCCGTATCTGTCTGCCCCTTCCCCTTGGAGTGAGGCTTTCCTCCCTCTGGTTGTGACTCATTTTCCCAACATTATCTTCCACCACTCAAGTTGAGGTGAATTCTGGGCTGCTTCCTAGACATGGGCCTCATGCCTTCCTGTCTGGCACTTTTTTTGTAAAGACATCTCTCATTGAAATCCTGTCCACCACATGTGGTGCTTCTTCCAGAAAGCCTTCTCTGACCCTCTCTTGGAGTTCCCTGGACTGGACAGTTAAGCTTTCTTAGAGTTGGGCTATTTTCGTGTTGTTGTTTGTTTCTGTTTTTGTTTTTAAGTTTATTTATTTTGAGAGAGAGAGAAAAAGCAGGGCAGGAACAGAGAGGGAGGGGGACAGAGGATCCAAAGCAGGCTGTGTGCTGACCGCAGAGGGACCGATACGGGGCTAGACCCATGAGATCATGACCTGAGCCAAAGTTAGACCGACTGAGCCATTCAGGTGCTTCTAGAGTTGAGGTTTTACTCCTCGTTGTATTCTCTTCACTTCTCAGCATAGAGCCCAAGATAGACTTTCTCTGAGCTTTTGACTTGAATACAGTGACCTAAAATTACATGTACGTATGCATTCTGCTCACTGTTTTATTACCGCCTCGGCATTCCCAGGAAATTTTGGCTTACGGTATCTTTAAATGTTTAAGTTGAGGAACTAGTATGGATGTTAATTGAGTTATATTGGAAGAAATTTTTCTTTAGGTAAAAATTTAAAGAAAAAAAAGTACATTTTCTCATTTTCTATTCATGGCATAAATTTGAATGCTTTCCAGTGGAACTAAAACCTTCTGAACCCCTTTCAGTGTCATCCAAAACTTGAACCTACTCTATTTCTATATAAAAGATCCATTCACAAATGAGCTGTGCAATTTGGTCATCTTTTTGACTTCAAACTTTTATCAAATGAAACAGCACAACACCAACATTTCCTTTATAATCTTCATCTGTGACACCAGCTTCTATATCTATGAAGTGTTTTACGGCCAAGCCAGAATTCAGAACTACTCTTCCATAGTCCAGAAGGAAGAGTTATCCAAGTGTCTATTTCCACAAGGGCCTTCTCTATAGGTGGTAATATAGACTCATAGGCATTATATATACAGGTCATAGCTTGTGGCCCTCAATGAAACTTCACTTGGGGCTTTGGTAGAGCCACATGCTGTCCTTCATTGCAGGCCAGGCCCAAATGCTTGGGAGGTGGCTGGTGTCTTCATAGCAGAGTGGCAGAGTGAGAATATGAGCAAAGGGGACAAGAGAGCTCGGGAGCCCTTGGAAGAAATGTTTTCTAGTGAGTGACTCTTAGTGGTATAACCATAAAAGGGGACTCATATCAGAAATAACAGTTGCTATTAGCACAGGCCTGTGGCTTGGCTTAGTAAGTAGTGCCCAAACCAACAGCCTCACCATCACCTGGGAGCAGGTTCTCAGACCTACTGGATTAGAAGTTCTGGGAGTGGATCTCAGTAGTCTGTTTTTAATCCACCCTCAGATAATGCTGATTGTACTCAGGTTTAAGACTGTTAGTATAGTCCACAAAATTCTAGTTAAGTAATTAAGGATTTTTTGATAGGTTTTGTTTTTTAATTAAGATAAGTTTAGTACCATAAATTCACCCTCTTAAAGTATACAGTTCAGGTTTTTAGTATATTCACAGAATTGGGCAACCGTCACCACTAATCCAGAACACCTTCATCACTCCCAAATAGAAACCCTGTATTCATTAGCAGTCACCCCCCATGCCTCCTCCTATAAGTTCCCAGCAACCACTAATCTTCTTTCTATATCTATAGCTTTGTTTATTCTGGACATTTTTTATAAATGAATGAGACAGTTTGTGCCCTTTCATGTCCACTTCTTTCACTTACCATGTTTCCAAGGTTCATAACATGTTGTAACATGAATCAGTACTTCATTTCTTTGTATTATCAAATGTTTCATTGTATAGAGACACCACATTTTGCTTATCCATTCATTAGTTGATGGGCATTTGGGTTTCCACTTTTTTGCTATTATGAATAATGCTGTTGTGAGCATGTGTGTACCTTTTTGTATGGACGTAGGTTTCCATTTTTCTTGGGTATATACCTAGAAGTGGAATTTCTGGGTCATATAGTAACTACCTTTCACTTTTTGAGGAACTATAAATCTTGCAAAGCACCTGCACCATTTTACATTCCAACCAGCAATGCATGAGGCTTCTAATTATTCTAATAGGTGTGTAGTGGTGTCTCCTTGTGGTTTGCTTTGCATTGGAGGCTTAACATTTTTATGCTGTAGCTCGAAGTTTGTTTTTTCATTATATTAGTTGCTTTTGGTTATTCCAGATTGTTTATATGTGTATGTTTCTTAAAACGGCAGTGTTGGGAGAACAGGTATATATAATGTAGCTAGGCAGGTAGAGTGGTTTAGAGTTCACATCCAATTTTTGCAAATATTATGCTTCAACTCCTATTTATCTTGATGCATTGCAGGGTGGTGGCCTTGTCCATGTCACCTGTGGATGACACTTTCATTTCTGGGTCTCTTGATAAGACCATTCGACTCTGGGATCTCCGGTCTCCTAACTGCCAGGTAATGGTACTTCACAGTTAGAGTTTTCTATGGTAGGCACTGTCATCAGCTCTTCCTCTCAAGGAAAGGAGAAAGTACTCGTTCCATTCTGAGATCCCAAAGTCTTTCTAAACTTTGGAGAAAATCTGTTTTCCTGGTAGGTGGCTGGTAATTAAGCTAATACCCTAATCCAGTGCATATTGCATTATGCTCTGTGGATTTTTGCTTTCAAAACCATTTTCCTGAAACCTGTGAGCTATAGCTTTTATGCTCAAAGAATTTGTTTTTATTTGGATTCAGTGTCTATAGAGTTGTACAGTTAGGGTTGATGAAACCAGTTGTATGGAGACCTGTTTGTAAAAAGCCTTATTTTAGTTAGGTTTGTTTGCTTTTTCCATTCTCTGGGTAGGTATCTGTTTGTGTCCTTTCTTAGTTTTCATTGGAAAAAGTAAATTACATGGTGGTAAGATCCTGGGTTCATTAACCTTTTTTCTTATTTTTTCATAGGGCCTCATGCATCTACAAGGCAAGCCAGTTTGTTCCTTTGATCCAGAAGGGTTAATTTTTGCTGCAGGTGTCAATTCTGAAATGGTCAAACTTTATGACCTTCGCTCTTTTGATAAGGTAAATCTTTGAATCTTTGAGCTATCTTCATATCATGGAGGTTTTGAAGGGTAAGATGAGAGCCTTTTCCATGATAAAGGAGGTATGTGGTAGACACTGGCGAATGTCAGAGCAATAGTTCTTCCTTGCTTTTCCTAGCCAAAAAGGAATCTAAAGGGACAGAATGAGAGTTGGCTCTGGCAGAAGGAATATTGATGGGCCTTGGGCTGGGGCTGCTGTTTTTATCATTTCAGGGGCCATTTGCGACTTTTAAGATGCAGTACGATCGGACTTGTGAGTGGACAGGACTTAAGTTCAGCAATGATGGTAAACTCATCCTCATCTCCACCAATGGCAGCTTTATCCGTCTCATCGATGCATTCAAGGGAGTGGTGATGCACACCTTTGGGGTGAGCTGACAACCTTTGAGCATGGCTGTTTCCATGCTCCTCCCTCCTGGGCTGAGAATTGTGGTAGCTGGTTGATGGAGACCAGTGGTTATCCTTGACTCACTGATGGAAGCATGGACATGCATTTTCATTCTGAACATGAACTAACTTCTCTTGGATTCTGAGACATTCACTTCTCTCACATAGTGTCCCAAGTTTGGAATTTAGATACAAAGTAATTCCTTGCCATAATAATTTTCTAGTTGCATTGAATATGGAGTTGGGGATGGGGGTGAACTGTAAAGGGTGGCAGCCGAGTTTGGAACCTTGGTGGCACTTTGCATGAAGAGGAGAGGGTTTCATGGAAAGGAAGGTGATGTGTGTGCTGGGTAAGTGTTTATAGGCAATTATTTTATATTAATAGGGCTGTGATAAGAGAACTGTTCTGCTTTTTTTTAGGGTTATGCCAACAGCAAAGCTGTCACTCTGGAGGCCTCATTTACTCCAGACTCCCAGTTTATTATGATTGGTAAGCTTTCTTTATCCCCCTTGGGGGGTTATTTCTCTGTACTGTGTATTTTTTTGTTTGTATTTTTATTAGTTTTAACTAATTAAAATACTATCTATTATCCTCTTGATGGGTGTTCTCACCTATCTCACCACAATGTGTAGTCTTATGCCAAAGGTGCAGTGTCTTTATCCTGATTTTGACTTCTTTACTGGGACCTGGCATTAATGTTGGTTGGACCAGCATAAGAGTTAAACTCCACAAGCACAGTCTTACTAATAATACTAGCTTTCTGATTTAACCCTGCATTCAGTTTTCAGTGGCTTGGTGTTGGTGGGATGTGATGGTATTTAGCCCCCTCCTTTTTTAAAAAATTTTTTCCTTTAATGTTTATTTTTGAGAGGCAGAGCACAAGCAGGGAAGGGGCAGAGAGAGAGGGAGACACAGAATCTGAAGCAGGCTCCAGGCTCTGAACTGTCAGCACAGAGCCTGATGTGGGGCTCAAACCCACAAACTGTGAGATCATGACCTGAGCCAAAGTCAGACACTTAATCAACTGAGCCACCCAGGTGCCCCGTAGCCCCCTTTTTAAATGAGAAAACTAAAGTCAGGGGAAATCACTTGGATGGGAACAAATAACTAGGGTTAAGGTCAGTTTCCAAAGTGTCCTTTCTTCACTGCCCCTTCTCCCTCAATTTCAGATGAGGGCCAGGTCCTGAAGCTTGACTTTTCTCCAGATGTCAGTCTGTCTTTCCCACTTTTCTTTGCATTGTGCCTTGAGCTGTTGTATTTTCCTTTATCATTCTCTTTAGGTTCAGAGGATGGCAAGATCCATGTCTGGAATGGAGAGAGTGGTATAAAAGTAGCCGTGTTGGATGGCAAACACACAGGCCCTATTACCTGTTTGCAGTTCAACCCCAAGTTCATGACCTTTGCCAGCGCATGTTCCAACATGGTATGTGAACACAGGAGATGTCTTCCATATAAGGGCCCTTTCCATTTGGGGTGGTGGGTGCTTCAGTGAACTGTGTCCTAAATAGGTTCCTGATAAGCATCCAAGTTCATGTTTCTCAGCTGATGGCTTCCCTGGTTCACCTCCTATTATCTGATCTCTGGTTGGACTTGGCTTTCACTTTCACCCTTATTTCTATGATCTGGGATCACCTGTAAGCTGCTGGGAGACCTCAGGCCCATTTTTGCTGTAGCCCCTGGTTTTATGACCAAACTACTTGGGACTATGCCTAACAATTTTTTGGCTTCTTAAAATACTTCGAACCAGCCTATTGTGGCTGCAACCTCTCTGTTTGCCATTTCTTTCAGTTTATGCTGAATTCCTGAGAAATTTTTACAGTTGATCATAACTCACTACTTAGCGTTTCCTCCAAGTTCCTTATGTTTCTAGGCAATGCTAGCAGAACAAAGCGTCCGTGTGTCTCAGCCTCAAGTTTCTTTTTAGCATCTCTTAAGTATACCTGGGTATTTGAGGATGAGGGATTTCACTACTAGCCTACCCAGAACACATTGCCCCCTCGCTCTTTTTTTGTTTTTGACACTGAGGAAACGATGTCAGAAAGAAATGCAGCAAAACCACCTCAGTCCCTGTCACTTTTTTACAGCTTGAGAAGGAGAGGGCATGTTGGAGGTCACCTGGCAGATTGGCAGTAAGGCCAGATACCCACCTCCCCAGACAGCTCTTTTGTTTTTCCTTACCACTGGACTACGAAGGTAGACAGTGTTGGAGACAGAACCAGCTTACTTTTGCACAGAGGGGGAATGTTTTTCCACAGATTGTCAGAATCGGTTGGTCATGAGGGAAGGCCACCAGCCAAAATTCCTCCACTGTTGGGGTTGGGCACCTTGATGCTGGGGGCACGGTGGTGGTAAGAACCCTGAGTGAGGAGAGAGGCTTGGCTTTTAAAAGTTGATTTATGTTTCTCCTTCCAGGCCTTCTGGTTGCCCACCATCGATGACTGACCTTGGTGCTGCTCGGCTGTTTCTGTACAGTGAGGGTGGCCAACAGGAAAAAACTCAGAGGGGACTGAGATAATGGATCGGATCGTTTGACTGGGCTGGAGAGCATCCTTCCACATGGCCTTCCCATGGATGTGCTGTACATCTGCTCAGAAGAAAAAAATTACTTTGCCGAGCTTCTTCAAAAAAGACTGTTGGTGTGGCAGATTCTGTCAGGACTTAGATTTTCCCGCTGTCACTGCACTGAGCTCCTCCAGAGGAGTGACCAGATTCATGATTAGGGTATACTGGGGCCCTCGAGACGCCTTCAATTTTGAATGTATTTGCTGCTGAGGAGCCGGTGAAGTTAATTCTGCACATCCCTTCTCCCACCCCCATAAATGCATGGGAAGCCACAGTTCTGGTTTTGAGATGCTAGGGAAGCTCAGCACCCCTTGCCCGCACCCTGCATGTCTTGTTACTGGGTCTCCCTGTGTCATTGTGGCAATATTCCACACCCATCATGTTACTTAGGTGCCAAACATTTACAGAAATAAGTCTTCATATATCTGGGGGTCAGAAAGGGACAGATAAACAGAAAAGGACCTTGCTTGCCAGGAAGCCTAGCGAGTTAGTCACGTGAGGGTGGGTGATCTGGGCACGCCTCAAGGCTCTGAGTGTTGGATGGGAGATGGCCCAGGAGCCTGAAGGGGAGGGAAGTGGGGGTTGCAGGTGAGTTCCATGGCTGGGAGGTTTAGCAGTAGCCTGGTGTGATCCCCCATCATGAAGACAGACCTGCGGTCTTTCTGGGTGCCTACCAAGCTTGGTTTTGTACAAAAGCAAGGTGGGAGTCTATTTTTGTACATGAGATACATCACGCTTTCCTGTGGGCCAGTATTGTGGAGTGAGTCTGAGTTGTTTACACTGATGCCTTCCCTGCCCACCACAAATTGTGTACAGAGTCTCCAGATGATACCACCCCTTCCCCAGCTCCCAAGCAAGAGCTGGCTGTAGGCCTGTGTTATATGTTATATTTAGCCTTTTTATATATGACATGGGGTTTCTGTTGTTTGTATTTTAGCACAGTGTGTACACCTTCATTTAAATATATCCGTGTGTGCATACATATATATGTATATGTATGTATGCATATATATATATGTATATAAAATATCTGTCATTTCTCAGAGTTCAGCAGAAAGAGGTCGAGTCCTGCAGCCCGAGAGAAGACTGCATCCTTGCTAATAGTGTTTGCCACAAGTGTTAGTGAGTCTTCCCTATTACCCTTTTTTCCTTTGGGAGACAGAATGAAGCAAAGCTTCAAGTGTTTGCTGTTCCCACGGCAGCTAACTGAGGGTCTTGGGATAACTTCCCTTGTATTCCTCAAGCCGCACTTTGGGGCCCTCTCTGCAGTATTAGCCCCCTTTTTGCTCGGTGATGCTCTGTCTGCGCTTGTACGTGTGTGACAGTCACTTTTGCATGCCCTTTGTGCCTGGCTTCCGGCATCTGGGGACAAGATGCTGGAACCAGAGCATTTTCAGTTTGTCTGAAGCTTCTTTTCCAATTACAGGTCATTCCTGTTTACCTGGTATGTCTGCTTTCTTCTTTTCCTTGCCTTCTCTTGGAAGAGGGAGAGGTCTTGATCAGGGTTGAAATGAGCTACAGCTGGCTCATGGCCTTTCCTTCCCCTGCATGGCCTTCTTAGAGCAGTACCAGTGGCATGTTATTTCACAAAGTTCTCAAACATTTAAGTAGGTCATAGGTTCTCTGCAGATACAGAAACGGGCTCCACAAGGTTATGACTTGCCCAAGAGTACATAGTTGCTAAGGGGGAAGCAAGCCATTAACTGCCTTTGTTCAGCAGCAGAAATAGGCTGTAAATTGCCAGCAATTACTGTTTTGTTTTGTTTTGTTAGCAATTACTTTTGACTTGTTTCTCAAAGGGCAAAGGGCATACATCTTTCCAAAATGTCGACTGGAATCTGCAGCTTTTCTGCAGTGCCACCCACTGTATATAGCTCTGCCTTATCAGAATGGAGAGACTTCTAGAAACCAGATCTATTACTGCCCAATCCTGGCTCTCCAAAGTAGAAAATTCATGGTAGGAGTAACTGTTCAGAGTGCTTGAGACTGGGTTTATAAGAAGGGCTGCCTAATAAACATACCTGCAGCCAGAGCAGCCACTTGCCTGTCAGCAAGGAAGATGATTCCTCTCGAGAGTTCTTGTGTGTCCAAAGCTGAGGTACCACGTTCTTTGGAACAGGCCCGTCACTGCCCCTCTTTCTAGGGACCTGTGGCTACAGAGCTGGCTCCTAAGTTGGGAAGGAAAGGGGAAAGCTACAGCTGGAAGTGATTGGACGTGATGTGGTAAGAATAAGGCAGGATAAAGGGAGCAGAGGGGCTGGGGCTGCAGGGGTGGAGCCAGTGGTGTTCTAAGCTCTCTAGGATGGGAGGGGCGCACCACACTTGAAGAGTCCAGGCCAAAGCCACCGATTTATGTGGGACACTGCACTGCTCAACCACCAGCCAGTGGGGGATTTTTTAATTTTTATTTTATTTTTTTAGATAAAACTTCCCTGTTGCAATCATAATTAATGCTTATTGAGGAAATTTGGGGAATTTTAAAGTGAATCAGTTTGCCACCCAAATGCTACCACTGTTAATCTTTTGGTGTTAAATGTTCCTCTAGAAATTTCTGTGCATAGATTTTTGGTGTGTTTACATAGTTGTTATTCTACTGTATATACAATTTTATGTCCCTTTTGTACTTAACATATAAACATTTTTTCCATGTTACCAGTCTTAAACAAGAGTTTTATGGTTGTAGCTTTTCTGTTGAGTTTCCATAGCACTGTTTGCCTGGTTCCTAGAGTTGGAGGGAGGGATGGGTTGTCTCCTGTTAGTCCTCCTGATTCCCTTTGGGACTCTGGTAATGCTGTGTGGATGGATTGTTGGGCTCCCTGGGACTGCCTCTGCCTGCCCCTGGTAACCAAGACCTGTCAGCTGTTGGGAAGAATCCCTAGACCCAGACAGACCTCAACGCATAGCAGCCTGGGTCTCCTCAACCGCAGGCTCTAATAAGCAGCCACAGGGCCAGAAATGAGGGACTGGGAAGGGCCAACCGGTCTTGGTCTGCAGACTCTCTGGCACGTACCTCAGGCTGCCTTTCATCCCTCATTGTTACCTCGACACTTGATCAGATTGGCAGCCTGTAGCTAGAATAAGGTTTGTCCTGCTAGGTCCCGGCTTCTGTGGGGCAAGGGTAATGGAGCCTCTTCTTTTGAGGCTCTTGCACCAGTTCTAGCAGAAGGCCTGGCCAGTAGCTTGATAACCCACTGCTTGGCTGGTGAGTTGGCAACTCCTAGAGCCTGTGCACCAGCTCGGTATCCTCAGAGCTGCGGGACCTGCCGCCTGCCACTTTGCCCACAGTCGTCAGCCAAGGATCATGAAGAGCAGCAGAGAGAACATCCCAGCTTGTGAGTGATAGGCTCACAACGTCAAGGAGGAAGCGTCCCAAACCCCCCCCCCCCTTCCCCCCTTGCCCAGCCTGGTGGGAGGGCTGCTGCAGCATTTGGCTCTGCTGAGAGGCACATGGCTGACCCGGCAGTCGCTCCTGTCATTTGTGCCCTGTCATTTGTGCGTGCTTGCAGGTGAGAGACGCACCGCGCCCACTCCGGGGGCCTCAGCCTTGTGTAAGGAGTGAGAGCAGGCAGTGGGCTGGATTGGAAGCAAAGCCAGCAGGCTGCAGGGGCGAGCTGCCTCAACAGTTGTGGGTGAGGCAAGTGCGGGATGCTGCCCACACTCTGCTGGGGGGGCAGGGTGGTTGCTGAAGACAGAGGAAGTAAAACTGCAGGCCTGTTAAAGCACACTCCTGCGTCTGCTAGCCGCCTAACTAGAGCAGGCCCAGAGAGGCTGCCCAGCGGTTCTGGGGCCACCAGTTTGTCGGGACCTCACTGTGGAGAGACGGAGGCCCAAGAGTGCTGGGCTGTGGGACAGGACTGTGAAAAAGGGGAAATTTCTTCCTTTCTCTTCCCTGGAAAAGGTATATAGGAAATGGAGTCTAAAATGAGTTAATCGGGAGGCGCCTGGCTGGCTCTGTCGGTAGAGGAGACTCTTGATCTCAGGGTCATGAGTTCAAGCCCCACACTGGGCATGGAGCTTAAAGAAAATAAATAAGATGGGCAAATTAAGAAAAATAAGGGGCGCCTGGGTGGCTCAGTCGGTTAAGCATCTGACTTTGGCTCAGGTCATGATCTCATGGTTTGTGAGTTTGAGCCCCGCATCAGGCTCCCTGCTGTCAGCACAGAGCCAACTTGATTCTCTCTTTCTGTGTCCCTTTCCCACTCCCGCTCCCCCTCTCTCTCAGAAATAAACATTAAAAAAATAAATGAGTTAGTGGACAGGAAAGGGGGTCTGAGAGCCTCCCCAGTTAAGTTAAACACTAGTTTTACCGTCAGTTGTGCTGCCACCTAGCCCATGTCCCTCCTGGCCCCAGGCTAGGGTTGTGAGTTGCCTGGTTAGAATTCATCTCAGTTGTAAACTAAAGTAGGAATGTATCAGGGGAGTTCAGTAAGGCTGAGGTCAGAAAGGTGGACACCTTGTAATTCAACAAATACTTCTGAGCACCTGAGCTTTGGCAAGTGCTAGGTGATAACAGTCTTGCGGGGAAGGTGAAGAACCAAGCTGCTCATCAAACACCGGGTGACTTGTCTCCAGCTAATTCTTGCTTTATAGAAACTGGCATTCAAAACCAAGTTAAAGGCACCCCTTCTGGTACATCAAGCCCAGAGCTCACAGATGGTGGTACAGACCTTTCTGTTCCCTGGACCACAGTTCTCTCACAGGGGCTCACCCCATACCAGGAACTAGGGAGGCCCGCAGAGAAATGCAGTCCTGACTACAGGCAAACTTGCAAGGTGGAGCAAAGACTGATTCTTTGGAAAATAACAAGAAAGAGCAAAAAGTATACTATAATGTCAAGCTTTACAGCAATTCATGATTCACAAGGGCTCTTCCACACAAACATTTAACAATAGGGAGGTGATGGGGGGGGCGGGGGCAACAAAACCAAAGGCGTTGGGGCATCAGCTGAGGGCAGGGCTAGGGCCAGAGAAGAGTGGTCAGAGGACATCCCCTGCTCAGCAAACTGGGATCCTCTTGCTTCTTTCTGTTCTGCCCCAACTTTAGTCCCAGGGCCTGTGCCTCACCTCCAGTGGCAGAGGGAAGCAGGGCAGGACCGGAGCTGGTCTCCCCAGGGGCTGATATCGGTTCAGCAGATAGGAAGCTGCCCACAGCTTTCCATAAGGCACCATGCATGGGCTTTGGTGGTTACTGAGTAGATACCCTGACATTTATGGTTTAGGAGACCTGAATCCAAACAGGCTTTTCTGCCCCTCCTGGCATTCTTAGCCAATGCCCTTAGTCCAGCTGTCCCCATCTGAGAATAACACTGGGCTGCTAAGGACCCTGTCAGAGGAGCCTCACGTGGGTTTCCTACGTTGTAAAGGGATGTTACCATTGATACTGTGCTCTTTCCTGCCTGCCAAAGGGGGGACTTGAGGAGCTGGGCTCTCCGTACTCTTCCAGCTTTGACTGCCTGGTATAAATGCTCCCCATGAAATGGGTGGGGTTGGGGGGTGTCAACCCATTGTGTCTGGCGGCAGGGCAGGTAGGCCTGCTGTGGACCATGGTGGAGGGACGCCCAGGCTACACCCGGCCCTGGAGTGGTTCTGGGATGTGGCGTCTGAATCCTCAGTGGCCACTGCTCCTTTGGCCCTGGCTGTGCAAGGGAATCACGAACACAGAGATGTCATCGTAGGACACCTGCCCTTCCTCTGTGAGACCGTCGTCCTTTCCCTGTGTGCTATGTATCAGCATTTGGGCCAGCTCCGAGAACCTGTAGGGACCAACTGCAGATGCACTTCGGGGCCAAAGCAAAGAAGCAAAGCCAGCCCTCGGAGAACTTGCTGCACAGGGCTGGACAGACACATGGGGACCCAAACAATGTGGTCCAGCTGTGGGGCCAGGCAAGCCTCAAGCATGGGAGGGCCACAGGTCGGACCATGGAGATTTTTAGTCTCAGGGATTTCTGAACCCAGAGATTTTGGAGACCCACAGTCACCCCGCAGAAGCTTGAGACAGCCCCGATCCTGACCACCTGCCCTGAGATGAGTTCATTGTCAGTGCTGTCTCCTCAGCCATAGCTACTTCCTGGTGTTGCTGCTGGTACCGACCCAGGCACAGGCAGGTCCCCAGAAGCTACAGTACCTGTGTGGGTCCTCTCGGTTGCCAGGGAGGAAGCTCCGCACTAGCCGTGCCACCTGCTCATTGGATAGGACATCCCAGAGCCCATCAGTTGCCATGACAACCACATCCTCCTCCTGCAGCTCCAGCTGGTCCACATCCAGGACAGTCACCTGCAAGTTAAGCCTGAGGATCCTTAGCACTCCCTTCCCGGGCTCCTGCCAGCCTCATCGTCTGCCTTTCCAGGCAGACGGAAGCTGGTGTGGGCTATTGCCCACTCACCTGTGGGACAGAGAGCAAGAAGGGCTTGAGCTGAATGTTTGTGTCCAGGACTTTGAGCTGATGGTCTCCCAGGCCCCGGGAGACGGCCAGTGTTCCCAGTAATCGAGCCTGGGGACAAGGGAGATGTGAGGTGACAGCAAACAGCCCCAGAGAATGTGCAAGTAAAGCACACAGAAGTGTACTGTGGCCCTTGGGTGCCCTGGGTTGAGGGACAAACATCCTGTAGCCTTGGAGCAAACCCCATGACCCCAGCCACAGCCCCCAAAAGGGACAAAGGAGCTCCCACTTCTGCAGGGGGCAGTTTAAGAGGGGCTCTTAGAGGGTGCCATTCACTGACCTGTCTACCCTGCCCATGGATCAGTGGGTACTTGAGATCCGACTTCTCCACACACTTGTAGCTCCTACCAGGAGCAGACCCAGCATCAATCCAGGCCCTACCCACCGCTCATCTCCCCGTAACACAGAGCCCACCCTGCCCGTGGGGAAGAGGACTGCCCCAAGCCCACACACTGGGCCTGACGCTAGGCCTCTCCCCACTGTCTCCCAAACCCACCCAGCTCACCAGCCTCTCATGTGGTGATCCCGGAACAAAACCTTCTGCCCTAAGTCATCCCCCTTCAGTCGCCGAGGGAACTCCAGTCGGGTGAACTCACCAGCCAGAAGCTCAGGGTAGACAAAGGCCTGGGGGTAGGAAGGCATGCTCAGATGAGGCTCTCTCTGGTGGCTTCTGGTGACCCTAGATTCAGGAGTTGGGGCTCCATAACATTCCTCTGCCAAAGGCACCTACCAGCTGCTGAATCCGCTGCCGCTCAGTCTCCGGGGTGAACTCAGAGCTCAGGGGCCGAACCTCATCTTTCCGTACCAATATGGCCCTGGATGGGGTTGGGGAAGAGAGAGAGAGGCCTGTGGAGCAGGCTCCACCCTCACTCATGGCCTTTCCCAGCCACCAGGGACCAGCTCAAAGCCCCCCATGACTACCAACAGCCTGCAAAGTAAAAGCTCAGCCCTTGGGCCTGGCGCTTGAGCTGTCTGCCCTCCCTCAGATTTGCTGTCCACTCATACCTGACACACCAGGTACACAAACAACTCAGCCAGTCAATCCCTACTTCCATCCCTCCACATCCAGCCCCCTTTCACTGTCCCCACCACCTCTGGTGCCCGCCTGCCGACCCCACCCTGCCTACCCTCCAGGTACTCACCTGCTATCCCCGGCATTGGCCACATACAGCTTTCCCTGCAGGGACACAGCCACCAGGGCTGTGCAGCCGCCCACCTGGCCTGAGGCCTCCAGCTCCCGCCCGATCACCTCATCCTGGGGCAAACCGAGGCCACTTTAGCTGCTGCTTGTACTGCCACCACACCACTCTGTCCCCGATCCCCACCCTACCATTCACTTCCCCACCAACAAGCCTGGTAGTCCCACCCAACCCAAAGTCTGGCTATGACTCCAGGATCCCTGTGGTTAGGAGATCTAGATGTATTCCTTGGGAGGGAGGGAAGTCCTATTCAAAACTGAGGAAGGGAAACCAGCCCCTGCACCAAGGACCATCAAGGTGCACAACGTACGATGCAGGTAAAAGCCCCTAGCACATACTAGGCACTGGATAAGTGGGAGGGGTTAGTGATGGCAATGATGACCATTACTAACAAACCAACCAACCCAATCTTGTCCTTCCAGTGCAAAGATCCAGGGAGACCACCACTGTGTGCAGGGATGCTCCACAACCCAGCGTCCCACAGGTGCCCGGTCCCTTCCCCAGCCAAAGGCCACACTCACACATTCCTGGAAGGCACTCTCCAGAGCCCCGATCACCAAATCTTCCGCCCTAATGCCCTTCTCTTCCACAAACTGGGGATCACTGGGACAGATGCTGTGGCCGCTGAGGTGCATGGGGGGCTGAGTGGCCACCATGCCCTCTACCACGGCCTCCAGCTGCCGGCGGAGGCAGGAGTGCAGGGTGTTGGCAGCCAGGATGGCTGCAGCTGGCCCACCATGCCCATCAAAGAGTGCCCAGTAATGACCTGTCAGGAACTGTACAGGAAGGGCTTGGTGTCAGGCTCTGCCTGGCTTCCCCAGTTGTCCCCCCACCTGGCATGGGAAACTAGAGCAAGAACCTGCAGTCCCGGTCCCAGCCTGTTAAGACCAGCTCAGGCCCAGTTGCACTCACCTCCTCTGGGCACGAGGTCAGCCACTCCTGGTCCTCTTCAGCCCCAAACTCACATCTCCGGATGCACAGCTGCCCACAGGCTGCCTGATCCTCATTGAACTCAGATTTCTCCGCATTGATGATCCTGAGGCCAGTAAGTGATCAGAGACCCTTCAGGGACACACCCATGTCCCCACGGGCAGAGACCAAAGCTGGTACATAGAGGGAGGAGCCCTACCTCTGAAGCAGCAGCCCCTATGCTGTCCCTAACACACACCTGGACAAACATAGTGTAAGTTTCCTAACTGTTCAGTAACCTCAGGGTAAGGCAAAACTCAGGGCCCAGCGCCTCTGTGCTGACCTGGGCTGAGAGGTGAGGGTGCGGCTGTCCGAGGAGATCTGGGGCTCCTTTGCCAATCCTCCCCCCATCTCGGCCAGATTCCCTGTCCCATACAGCACAGGCCACAACCCAGGGTGAGATGCTGCGTGCGTGTGAGGGGTATGTATCTCCAAAGCCCGCGCGCAATGTTGGAACTCCACCCAGGGTCCCTGTCTCATCTTGGAAGCCCCAGAGGTGCAGGTCCTTCCCAACTAGTGAGCCTCTCTGAGGGAGGCTGGCTGGAGTCCCCAAGAAAAGGCTGCGGTGGGACCGGGGGAAGGTGTCAAGAGTCCCAGATGAGGGCAGAAGGGAGGTAGCCACAAGGTTGGGGGACGGGAGCACTGGCTCAGCTTAGGCTGTTTTCCAGGACGGCCCAGCAGGGCCGGCACGGAGGCGCGGGATCGGGGTGGAGGGGTGGGGGCGGGGGCCGCAACGGGGCACTCACTCGGCGTAGCCTGCGTTCCAAGGCAGTGCGCGGCCCCGCGCTGGACTGCGCACGGGCCGGACGTCGGGGCGGCGCGGAGCGTCGGCGGTGCCGGGGCCCGAGCCGGAGCCGCGCAGGAAGCGGGGCCGCCGGTAGGGCACGGGGCTGGAGCGCGGCCTGGGCGGCCGCGGCGCGGGCAGCGGACCCCCGGGCAGGAAGCGGCGCCGGAACCAGCCGGCGGACATGGCGCGGAGGCAGGGGGCTGCCGCGCGGGAGGAGGAAGCGGGCCGGGGGCGGGGACGGGCCGGGTAGGGGCGGGGCGGCGACGCCCCCAAACGCCAGCCTCCCGCGGGGAGTGCACGAGCGGCCCGGGCGCCCTCGGGCTTACCGGGGCCCCTGATGACCCCAAGAAGCAAAGGCTGTTGGCAACCCCACTTCACAGGCAAGAACACTGAGACCTCCAGAGGCGAAGTGGCTTGCCCGCGTCACGCAGCCACCCGAGCGGGCGTAGTGCTGCGCCACACGCGTGGGGTGGTGGCCTTTGCAAGGGAAAAAGTTCTCCTCGTCACCCAGCGAGGTGATGGGGTCATTCCGAACGTAGCCGAGGCCTGGAGGCTGGGTCCGCGTCCGTGGGGGAGCCTCCGGCCTCCTCCCGCTGGGCCCGGACCTTGCGCAAGGGTTAGATGGGAACAGGATGTGCCTGGAGGTGTCAGACTGACAAGTTGAGTAAGAGTCTCAGAGCACAGGGTTCCCTCGGGTGGCCCTTCATTTCCCGCCCATGCAGCCTGTCACCATCCACCCCCACATGAGCCTTGGTGGCCACCCTGGCGTTCCTCAACCTGAGACTCCTCTCCACACTTCAGGGACAGCCTACCAAACCACTACCCCTCCAGTCAAGATGTCGTCTCTGGACAGACAGCAGGATTCTCACTAGAATGTTCGTGACTGGTAGACAAGAGGAATTCATGGTCCCCAGAAAGCTCCAACCAGTCCAAGTTCAGACCTGGAACTAAGGGAAGTGAAAGAATTCATCCCTGCTGGAGGCAAGATGCTGCAGTCTCTTAACCCCTGACCAGCTGTCACCGTGCGGTCAGCAGCAATGTCTCCCTTCACACCTGCAAGTTAACAGAGTGCTCTGTCACCCTTCTGTCACTTAAGCCCAACTCCCTGTGCAGCACTGTTATTTCTGTCTCTTGAGGAGGACTCTGAGGCCCACAGAGGGGAAGTGTCCTGATGCCCAGGGCTCTGCTGTTTCCATTATGACAGTTCAGCTGACTCAAACTCCCCACAGGGGATTTCTCTTCCCCTTCCTCTTCCAAAAAGGCAGGCTTGCCAACTCAAAGCCCCTGAGGCCCATAGCCCAGGGTCCCCAGGGAGAGCTTCAGGAGGAGTCCCTACCTTTGTCTGGGCTCCCAAGCCTAGCACATGCTCACATGCTGGGTGCAGCAGTGATGGAGGTTGAGTCCCAGCTCTGATGGCGAAGGCCTGGTGGATGGTGCTTGTTCCAGCTGGCAAGGGGGTGGGGGCAAAATCAGAGAAAGCTTCTCAAAGGACACCTGAGCTACGGTCTATCACCGGGACAGATATGGACCAGGGACCCAGGGTGGGGCAGGCCCAATTCAGTCTGTGGGGTCACCTCTTCATCCCTACCAGCCAACAGCTCAGAGGTTTTTAGTCTAAAATGAGAGGAAACAACACAAGCACAGTCTTTTCTCCATGCCAGTGCCTTGGACTTCGTGGGTGGGATGAATCCTGTCCTTTGAAGCATATTCAGAGAAGCTCCTGAGATGTCACAGGTGGTCTGTTGCTCAGTGTAGCTGTGGAGCCCTATGGCAGTCCCTTCCTCCCTGTTCCAAGGAGGCCTGAGTGTCCCTTCAGTGCCACCGAGGCTCCTCTGGCTTCTAGGTGGCTTCTGGGAGCCTCTGCTCTGGCTTGGATCCCAAGGCTGACTTTCTTAGTTTTCGACCTAATTTTGCTGAAGCACATCCTCTAACAACTCTCCAAGAAAGGATGACTGGAAGGTCATTTCCTGGATCCTCCCAAGTCTGAAAGGGTTTGCCTCAAAAAAAAAAAAAAAAAAAAAAATTTTTTTTTAAAGTAAGCTCTACACCCAACATGGGGCAAAATCCTTTGTTTTTGACTGATATTTTAGCTCAGAGTCTGACTTCTCTGTTCATTGTCTTTTGACTGTTGCTTCTGCTGCAGTCTAGGGCCCCTCTCATTCCCAGACCTTTAGATTGGTTGTTTGCCTTTTTCTTTCTCCAGAAGTTTCTAATCTCTTCTGTCTCTGGTGTCTGAAATTGTAGGGGAGGTTCCTTGGGGTGGGTCTCTCTTCATTCTTGGGCTGAGCCCTCCCTGGAGGCCATGCAGCCCCCCACTTCCCAGTGACACCCTTCTCCTAACTGTTCCAATGAACGCAAGCTTGCCCCGCTCCTGGCCTGACACCTCTCCTCAGCTAACTCCATCCGCATGTGACAGTTTGGGGTGGGGAGGAGCAAGTTTAGCAAAAAAGAAAAAGATTTTTATGCTACATTTTTTTTCACTCACAAGGAGAATAGTTTTTGTTGAGTCCCATGACTTAAAATTCAAAAGGTGGGTCTCCTGGCTGGCTCATTTGGTGGAACATTCGATGCTTGATCTTGGGGTCGTGAGTTTGAGCCCCACGTTGGGCACAGAGATTACTTAAAAAACAAAAACAAAACAAAAACTTTTTTAAAAACCCACAAAATTCAAAAGGTGTAAAGTGTATTTAGTAACAAGTCTCTCCCACAACCCCATCCCCTGGCCATGCAGTTCCCCTCCCCGGAGACATCTAATATTACTAGTTTCTTGTGAATCCTTCCAGAAGTGCCAGGTGTTCTGTAAAAATTCAAGCCAAAAAAAAAAAAAATTACCTATAAGACAAGAAATAATGAGTGTTGGCAAGGATGTGGAGAAAAGGGAACTCTTGTGCACTGTTGGTGGGAATGTAAACTGGTTGCAGACACTATGGAAAACAGTATGGAGGTTCCTCAAAAAATTAAAAATAGAACTATCATATGATCTATCAATTCCATTTCTGGATATCTATCTGAAGAAAGTGTAATCAACATCTTGAAAACATATCTGCACCCCCATTTTCACTGCAGCATTGTTTACAACAGCCAAAACATGGAAACAACCAAAATGTCTACTGTCAGGTGAATGGTTAAAAACAATGTGGTACACAACCACACACACAGGAATATTATTCAGCCATAAAAAAGAAGGACAGTCCGCCATTTGCAACAGCACAGATGGACCTTGAGGGCTTTATGCTAAATAAGTCAGACAGAGGAAGATAAACACTGTATGATCTCACTTATATGTGGAATCGAAACAAAATTTCAAATCCATAGGCACAGAAAATGGACTGCTTGTTGTCAGAAGTGTGGGGGCGGGGTGGACAAAATGGGTGAAATTGGTCAAAAGGTATAAACCTTCAGTTATAAATAAGTGCTGGGCGGGGGCACCTGGGTGGCTCCGTTGATTAAGCATCCAACTTCAGGTCATGGTCTCAAGGTTCATGAGTTCAAGCCCCATATGGGGCTCTCTGCTGTCAGCACAGATCCTGCTTCATTCAGATCCTCTGTCTCCTTCTCTCTGCCCCTCCCCTGCTTGCTCTCTCTCTCAAAAATAAATATATATTAAAAACAATAAGTTCGTTCTGTGGGTGTAATCTATAGCATGGTGACTATAGTTAATGCTGCTGTATTGCATATTTGAAAGTTACTAAGAGTAGATTCTAAAAGTTCTCATAAGAAAAATAATTATAACTATGTGTGGTGATGGATGTTACCTAAACTTATTGCAGTCATTTCACGATATATACAAATATTGAATCTTGTTGTACACTTAACACTGATACAATGGGATTTGTAAATTATATCTCAATTTAAGTAATTTAAAAATTACATATATATAAAATCTTTCCTTCTCCCCTCCTTTTCTTTCCACAAATGATAGCATACTGTGTGCCATATCCTATACTTGAAATTTTCATAAAAGATACCTCTTTTTTTGTTAGTCCTCGAAAAGCTGCCTTATTGTTAAGGTTACAGAGTAGTCTCTGCAAAAATGCAGACTTTATGTAGCTAGCCCCCCCCAGTGATGGACATTTAGATTGTTTTCAGTTATTTGCTTTATAGTTTTTTTTGTGGGGGCGATATTGATAGGATCAGTTCCTAGTAATGGAATTGCTGGGTCAAAAGCATTTGTTGTTCATAGCAGCACCATTCACAATAGCCAAAAGTGGAAACAACACAAATGTCATCAGCTGGATGAATGGATAAACAAATTCTGGTATATACGCACAATGGAATATTATTCAGCCATAAAAAAGAACGAAGTACTGATATGTGCTACAATGTAGATGAACCTCCAAACAATTATGCTAAGTGAAAAAAAGCCAGATATAAAAGGTCACATGTTTTATGCCTCCATTCATATGAACTATCCAGAATAGGTAAATCCATGGAAATAGAAAGAAGACTGGTGGTTGCAGGGACCGGAGGAGGGAGGAATGGGGAGTAACTGCTTAACAGGTACGGTTTTCTTTTGGGGTGATGAATTTTTTTTTTTTTAAATAGGCTTCACACTCAGCACAGAGCCCAATGCAGGGCTTGAATTCACAACCCTGAGGCCAAGACCTGAGCTGAGGGGAGCCTGGGTGGCTCAGTCAGTTAAGTGTCCGATTCTTGACTTTGGCTCAGGTCATGATCTTGCGGTTTGTGAGTTTGAGCCCCTCATTGGACTCTGCACTGACAGTGTGGAGCCTGCTTGGGATTCTCCCTCTCTCTCTCTCTCCCTCCCTCTCTCTCTGCCCTTCCCCTGCTTGTGCTCTCTTTCTCTCTCTCAAAATAAATAAACATAAAAAAAAAAAAGAGCTGAGATCAAGAGTTGAACACCTAACCAACCATGCCACCCAGCACCCAGGCACCCCAATGAAAATGTTCTAGAACAGGAGATGGTGGTTGCACAACATAGTGAATGTACTGCCTTGATCCCTTTAAGATGGTTAATTTTGTTATGTGAATTTCACTTCAATTAAAAAAAAGGGGGGGTATACACATTCACAATTTTGTAGATATTGTTCTACATGAAGGTTTACTCTTCCATCAGCCTATTTTCCCATAGTATTTCATTAAGGTTTTTAATCTTTCTCTATAGATAAAAATATGGAAGTCTAGTTTGATTTCCATTTATCTTATTAAGAAGGGATAACCAA